CCTCCTCCTCCTCCTCCTCCCCATTCTTGTCCTCACCGTTCCCCTCCTCCCCCTCCTTCTCCTCACCGTTCCCCTCCACCTTCTCCTCGACCTCCTTCCCCTCCCCGTCCTTTGAACTCTGTGACTAGTCTTCGGCTCGGTCGCGGGGCGTCGAGACGCAGTCAACAATGTGGAGACCGCCCCTGGCGACCGCAACAATCCCCAGGCCTCTCTTGTGGCCCTAATCTGCCGTGTTGGGGTGTTCGGGGCTCTTCGTTGGCGCCGTTTCAGCCGCCAGTGTGCCCTCTGGTGCCGTCATGGGGCACGGTTGGCAAGTCTTGGGGACCTCTAGGACCAGCTTGCGCCGTCGAGGAACAAAACAGGCTGGGTGGCCAGAAGCCTCGGAAAAATCATGGGAGAACAAAAACTAAGGATTGAGCCTCTGGGGGCTCTTGTGGGAAGCCTCTAGGAAACCTCTTTTGCTGACGAGGTGGCCTGGAAAGCGGTCATTTGGCGATTGTCGGCGTCGCACAGACCTGGGAGCGACTCTGGCGGCTCGCGGAGCCTACTTGGGGGCGGCGGCCCTCCCGTGCGGAGCCGTCTTGGATCGCGGTTGGGGGCCCCAGGGGCCCGAAACGCATCGGTTTGGGCGTCCTCTTGGGCTGCCGTGCAGCGCGGGGATGCAGAACGAGCTGGATGACTGAAAGGTATATATAAAAAAACGCCATCGGGAAAAACAATGAGTAAGGCCTCAGAGAGCCCTCGGGGGAGGCCTCCTGGAAGCAGGCCGCGTCGACGAAGTCGCTCGTGGGGTTGTCTGCGATCGTCGGCGTCGGGCAGGCCCGGGAACGACTCTGGCGGCTCGTGGGGCCTACTTTGGGGCGTCGGCCCTCGCATGCGGAGCCGTCTTGGATCACGGTTGGGAGCCCCAGGGGCCCGAAACGCATCGGTCTGGACGTCCTCTTGGGCCGCCGTGCAGCGTTGGGATGCAGAACAAGCTGGATGAGTAACAACGCAGAAAAACCATTGGACCAACAAAGAGTGCCCCAGAGCCCTCCGGGGAGGCCTCGTGGAAGCATGACATGTCGACGAAATCGCTCGGGGGGCTGTCTTGGGGTGATTGTCGGCGTCGCAGGGATCTTCGAGCGTCCCGGCCGCTCTGTGACCCTTCTAGGGCGCGCCGATCCTCGGAGCCATCTGGGGACAAGGTTGGGAACGTCGGGGGCCAAACCGGAACAGTTTGGGCGTCCTCTGGGGCTGCCGCGCAACATGGGGATGCAGAACACGCTGCATGGACCTGGAGAGAAACGTAAAAAAACGATGGGAAAACCAACTGTGTGAGATTTGGAGAGCTCTCCTGGGGGCCTCTGGGAAGCCTGTGGGAGATCTGGGGCACCAGGCAACACCTGGACCTCTCTGGTGGCTCCGGGCCAGCGAAACCATGTAAAAAACACAAGGAAAGTAAGCCCCGGGCCCCCCATGCGCCGCCGAGGTCCCTGGGCGGGACCCCGGCCGGCCACGCCCCCCGGGGCTCTGGTGGCTCCGGGTGGCCGAAACCTTTTAAAAAACAGAGAAATTAAGTTCCTGTGCCCCCCATGCCCTGCCGAGGTCCCTGGGCGGGACCGTGACCCCCCCTGCCACGTCCCCTGGTGTATATATATAAAAAGATAAACAGATAGATAGATAGATAGATAGATAGATAGATAGATGGATGGATAGATAGATAGATAGATATATAGATAGATAGATAGATAGATAGATAGAAAGATAGATAGATATATAGATAGATATAAATATATAGATATATAGATATATATATATATATATGTATATGAGGGTATATATATAGACACATATATATAGATATAGACATATATATAGATATATATGAATACATATATATATAAAGATAGATAGTCAAATATATAGATATATATATAGATAGATAGATCGATATATATATATATATAGATATGTATAGATAGATATATAGCTATATATATATAGATAGATAGATACATATCTATAACCTATATATATATAGATAAATAGATATATAGATATATGTATATATACATTATATATACACATTCGCAGCTCACTCACGGCCCCGAGGCCGCAACCCCGCGTACATGACGTCACGCACGCTCCCGAACCAACGATGCCTCGACAGTTTCAAACATGAAGCGCGCCCCCGAGGACATCATTCCTTTGGTTTTATGACAACTCGCCCGACCAGTCAGCCAGCAAAAAGCTCACACCAACTGTCAACCATCTACATGGACAAGTAAACCAGCCGAATTGCCAGCCAACCAAGACATTAACATACAACCGACCAACCGATCAAGCAAGCCACGCACACAGTCTCAGAAGGAAGAGAAAGAACGAGGTGGGATGGAGAGAAAGACTCGGCTGTGGACACTGTGTATCGCTTCTCGACGGTCACTATTCCCTTACGTCGAGTGCCGAACAACTGATGACAACGCTGTTGCTGCCTCTGGCCGTGAATAACGCCTTGGGCGCATGAAACCCCAGGGCGCCTTCTAGCAAATTCCCCTCTTGTTTTCCGCTTGTCACGCGCAACAAATGCGCGCAACACTTTGTGAACAGCGACCCATAACTGCCCCAATGGAACCGCAATGCGAGCATGACACTAACATACGAAAGTGCAACTAGCGCGGAGAGAACCAACATCAATTGAATGCCACCCCTGCCGTGCTTGTCAGAAAACAGTATCACACCAATGCCCAACAGGGACCCCGCGCCTGTGTAGATCTAAACGTGGCGAAGCGCTGTAGATCGACCTACCCAATCTGAAAATAGTGAGAGGGATGGTCATAGTTGTCCTCCCCCAACAAAGAAGCTGATCTCTACCCTGTCCCCGACGCGGCGGTAGCACAAATGGTAGGAATCACCACCGATTGATCCAACACGCGGCGAAGTCTGAAACTCTTCTATCACCATGCGTGCGAATGAGTGCCGATCAAAATGCCGTGAGCTCACGGGAACTCAGCTGCGCATCACAGGAAGCCCGGCGAATCAGCTGTCGTAGCTGATTATCCCGGCGCTTCCAGGCGCCAGAGACGCCCATGCAGCTGCGGGATCGAAACCAGCTGCATGCAGCAGATCTCGTACGGCAGGTTCGTGTCGTGTCGACCCCGGCGTTGGTTCCTGACACCGCGCTGGATCGTTCAACCTTGAACGATCGGCCGTTTCCGCAACGTCCAATCGTTCAACATCGATCGATTCTGGGCCGCCGGCGGCGTTCAAGGTTGAACGCCGCTGGCGGGGTCGCCGCTGGTCGACACGTCGCGAACCTACCGTACCCCCCCCCCTCTCCACCTTCCCTCCCCACCCTCACCGCTCATCCGACCCGACCCTATGGCAGGTGCGTGCCGTGGCGACCGAGGCGCTGCTTTCTGACACAGCGTGGGTCGTTCACCCTCGACCGATCGCAGCTCTCCGATAACGCAAATCGTTCGGCATCGGAAGACTCAGCTGGCGGCGTCGAACCCCGGACGCCCGCGCTGGGGTCGCCGCTGCGTCGGCACGACACGGACCTGCCGCAGCCTCTTCCCCGCAGCAGAGCAAGGGGGGGCACCCTGCTGCCCTCCAGCTTCGCCAGCTTCGCGCCGATCCGCTCGACGCGGTGGCGCAGCAGCGGCACGCTGCTGGAGGCACTGGCAGAGTGAGCGCAAGCCTTAAGAACTTCGACGTTCGACGATCATGTCTGGGACAACTTCTCCTAATCGAGGTCGAAAATACTCACACTGCGTAAGAACACCGCTCTCATATCCAACGGAAAAAGCATTTCGCTTCCCAACCGCTCAACACATGCTATTGCCTCAGCTCGTCATTACTCGGCCATACTGATAAACCCAATGGACTGCTCTTGATCGGGCTAATACACTGCATCGTCACCAACGCATGGAAACCTATGCAAAAAAGCGTGCACGACATAAGTGGCATACGCAGCTTACATTGCACGGCCTGGCTCAACGCGCCATCGACGCGCAGCTGTCAAAACAAATGGGTATGGCGGCACATCATACCGCAACTCAAGCAAGGAAACACACTTCTCGGCCATATGGATGAACCAACCAAATGAACTGCTCGTAATCGAGCTGACACGTTGCATCGGCTCCAACGCATGGGAATTTACTCTAAAATTACGTGCGCAACGTAACCAAAACATTTTTTCGTCGGCGGCAAGGCAGAAGAGCTGCACCAGCGGTGGGCGATCGGGGCGACCGAAACGCGAAGTGGCCGGCATGCTGGAGGGGGGGGGCAGGACAGACGGGGCTGCCGCGAAGGACACGAGGAGGCGGAGGGGAGGTAACCAACACACGCACACTACACTGCACGGCCTGGCTCAACGCGCAATCGACCGCGCAGCTGTCACAACAAATGGGTAGGGCAATATGAACGCGGCCCACTATTACCGTGTCTCAAGCAGGAAAACAGAAACTGCAAGCATGCGCAACGCAACGCGGCGAAAGCTGCGAGCATGACAGAAAAGGCGCCAAACTTGTGGAGGTCCGCGCAGATTTCTTGGATCGACGACGGACCCCCCGTCAGCGCCTCCAACGCCGACCCCAACGCCGATCCAAGAAATCAGCGCAGGCCTCCGAAGGCATGAGAATGCTTAGGTGGCGACACCCGAGCACCCACCAATCACCAACGATTCTCCTGAATCGATGGGAGCTGGGGGCAGGGTTCGGAGTTCGCCGCGTGCTCGACGGATGCCCGTGCCTCCCATCGAGTTGCCCGAATCGTTGATCGGCGAGGGTAGGGCTCGGATTTCGCTGCCGAATGTTACCAGGAAGCTGGAAACATCCGAGGCTGGATTCACACACACAGAAAAACTGGAGGCAACGCGCTGTATACACATTCGGAACCCTAACCTACACTGCAGCGCTGGAAAAACATCCGAACACTTTTCCGTCGGCGACGAGGCAAAGCTGGCTGCACCAGCGAAAGAGCCAGACGGGGGCACCGAAAAGCGAGTTGGCCAGCAAGACGTCCGAACACATGCGTATCCAGCTCTCGCCTGGGTTGGCCACACCATGTGTCTCCAGCTCCCTGGTACGCAGTTGCTTCTTCTGCGAGAGCAGCGCGCGCGCAGCAAGAAGCATAGAGAGCGCCCCGGCAGGCAAACAAACATGCCAAGGCTCACGCGTCCGGGAGGGGCTCCACTCGGAACGGCACGTTGTCCCCCTCCCCGGCTGTCTTGGGAGACAGGGGGCGACGAGAAAGGGAAAGGCACCTCCTCCATCTCCGTCCTCTCCTCCTCCTCCTCCTCCTCCTCCTCCTCCTCCTCCTCCTCCTCCTCTTGATCTGCCTTTGGCTCCTCCTCCTCCTCCTGTTCCACATCCTCCTCCTCCTGCTCCGTCTCCCTGGCTCCTCCTCTCCTCCTCCTCCTCCTCCTCCTCCTCCTCCTCCTCCTCCTCCTGCGCCGCCTCCTCCTCCTCCTGCGCCGCCTCCTGCTCCTGCTCCTCGTGGGCCGCTCCTCTCGGGGCAAAGGGGGGGGGACTCTGGGCCTCGGGCTGCGGCGGCCACCCCGGGCACGCCACTGCCGCGACCAGCCGTCAGACGCCAAGGGGGGGGCCGCCGTCGTCGGCCACGGCGATAGGGGCCAGGCGGAGCTGCGGAGAGGAGGGCGGGGCCGCGCCCGGCGAAGCCCAGGGGCGGCAGCGGAAGACCAGCGGCGAGAGGGGACGGCAGCAGAAGCGTGCTCCGCCAGAACGCGGCGGCGCCCGAACCGAACGTCATCAGCCCCCAAAGTGGGATCAGCTCGCGCGTCAAGGCAGGCAGCGGCCGCCGCTCCGGCCGAGGAGGCAAGGAGCCGTCTGTTTCATAACGGCTTTAAGGAGGCCCTCTGCAGCCTCCCCCGAATGCCTCGTCCGAAGAGTCCCTGTGGACGTCTGGCACCCACAGGTGCCGGAGAGGGGGCGAGGAGGGAGGAGGAAAAGACTGAGCCAGGATTGCAGGGGCCCAGGGACACACAAACAAATAAACACACATCCCAGGATCGTTCCTGGATGTTCGTCTTCCCCTCCTCTTCCATATTTTCTAATACTCCTGGGGAAGCGACAATCATTTGCGTCTGTGTGCTGTTTCCTTCCTGAGAAAAAGGGGAAGAGCAGAAGGGGGAGAGAAAGGGAATGGGAGGAGGAACAAGAGGTCCCGGTACCGCTGCTCCCAGGACCTCTCCCGCGGCGCGTTCTGGCCAGAACTTCGGGGAGAATCCAGCCGTGGCGTCGAGGGCTATCCAGGACGAACAGCAATTTCGCTTCGTTTCCTCTTGAACGACGTGCTATGTTATTCGCGATAACGCCCGTCATTGACCAGACACTCCACCCCCTCACCCCCCTTGGCAACGTCACGATTCGCGCTGGCGCCGTCTGGCGCCGTCTGGCATCCCTGAGCATTCTCAGGCGGCTTCGGCGCGAATCTCGACGTTACCAGCCGCCTCCTCCCCTCCCCCCCCCCTGGAGAATGGCCGCTATCGCCCGGGGGGCGAGGCGAAGCGAGGCGAGCGCCGATATCCGTAACTGCGCCCACGCGCGGCCGCGCGCCTTGGAGGCGTCGGCGGTGGGACCGGAACCTCTCAGGTGATGACATACATGTTTCGGGGCTCAGTACGGTGACCATCCGCCTGTCCTGTTCACCGAACTCTGCTATCATATCATCGTGTCGGTTGTCCTTCGCACATAGGATCAAAACACCACCACTGAGCTCAAGATCATCAAATCTGTCTCGAAGACGGGCCATCGCGGTGGTCTTTGGGCGGCCACTGGCGCGTCTTGAAGGGGCCCAGGTGCCCTACCACCGGCATGAAGATCCAGGGTTTGCCCTTAGGGTCCCCAGCCTTGGACCCCGGGCATATGTGTATGTATATATATGTGTGTACGCACACACATTCGCAACACACTCACGGCCACAAGGCCGCTACCCCGCGTACATGACGTCACGCGCGCTCCCGAGGCAACTATGCCTGGACAGTTACCCGAGCACACGCCTCGTCCGAGGAGTCCCCGTCGCCGTCCGGCACCCACAGGCGCCGCCAGTGGTCGGCGCCGCCGGTTGCCGCCTGGCCCCCCCACGCGGCCGCGGCTGGTGGATCGAGGAGGCGCATCGAGGAGCGCGAGGAGGACCGAGTCTCTTTAGGAGGGCTGAGGCTCGAGGAGGGGGCGTCGAAGGTCGAGGAGAAGGCGTCGAAGGTCGAGGAGGAGATCGAGGAGAATATCGAGGAGGATATGGAGGAGGAGGGGCGACAAGGATCGAGGGCCGAAGAGGAGGCGCATTGCGGATCTCGAGGAGGACCGAGGTTCTCGAGGAGGGCTGAGGATCGAGGATGCAACATTGAGGATCGAGGATCCAGAAGCATATCGAGGAGGCTCGAGGATGAGCGTCGAGGATTGAGGAGGATCTCGATGAGGAGGAGGGGCGTCGAAGAGCGTTGGGGTCCCAGGTCTTGCCTCAAAGACGTCGCCGCTGGCCTCCTTTGACACCAGGCGCAGAGCTCGCCATCGTTCGGATGTGCATCCCCCGTGCATTCTTCGATTTCGCGTGCGTGGTTCTTCGCTGGATGATCCAAGATGCTCCTCGATGGTCCTCGCCGCGAAAAAGGCAAACGTCCGAGCGATCCCAAGGGAGGATCTCCCAGGGTCAACGCCTCGGGTGAGCGCACTGCTTGAGAGGACTCGGACAACGCGTCGCAGCCCTCCGATGATGACCCCCCAGCTTTTCGCTCGATTTTGGAGCTCATGGGGCTCCTCTTTCGCTGCTTGAGAAATATCCCGACCAGAACGTCTAGCACAAGCAGCTGTGTGCGCGTAGCACTCCGCGAGCGATTGCGGATAAGAGTGAGGGGCAGGCGCGGGGTCGGGCGCGGGTTGGTCGCGGGTGCGTCGCGGGATGGTCGCGGGTGGGTTGCGGGGTGGGTCGCCGGTGGGTCGCGGGGGGACGACGACAAAAGCAAACAACAATAGACAATCAATCTGGGCAATGGAATCCCACTTCACCCACGCACCCAGGGATGACGACCGCTCAGCCCCCTCAATCTGATAAGCGTATATGTATAAAGTATCATATAACGTTTTGCGATGCAAGCGGCAATGTTCGGGTGTTGCTGGAATTACCCATGGCCCAAAAGTGCCCCCCAAACAATTCACAGAAGCCCCCGCGGCCTCCAGAGCACACCCCACGAGGCCCCGGGGGCCCCAGCGGCTCCAAAACTAAGCGAAAAGCTGGGGACACCGTGGGCCAGGGGCACGTTCAGCAACACCCTAAATGTGGCCACACCACGCCCGAGGATGTGCAAGATGATTCAGTGGGTTCGTCGGCCCTGCGCAAGCCGCGCACGCACATTGCCAAGATGATCGAGTCCGACCGGGTCCAAGCAACAACAAAAATGCGTGGGATCAGCAACGCGCCGCCGCGAGGCGCCCGCTCCTCCGTTCCCTCGCCGACAGTCAGCCACCGCGGCCCCTATTACGGTGAGGGCAGTCTGGTAGGGTAGGTTCGCGCGGCGTCGGCGCGCGCAAAGGCTTTTTACACCGCATCGATCTGCCAACCTCGAGCCAATCGGGGCCCCGATCGTTCAAGGTTGAACTCCGTCGGGTCCTGTGGCGTTACAGTACCCCTCGCTGCTTCCGCGTCGTTCTGTCGTTCTATCATGCGGAGTTCAACATTGAACGCCTTCGCCAGCGTCGCCGGCGCGCCATCGCCGCATGAACCTGCCGTAAGGTTTCTGCAATCTTCCAACGGGCTCCTCCATTCTCTAGTCGCGTCCAGGGGCATGCGCCGCAAGAGCCTC